CGCGCGGTGGTCTCCGAGGTCGGAGACGTAGGCACGGAGGTAGTCGACGGGAGCGCCGGCGAGGAGGCTCTCGAGCTCGTGCAAGGCCTCGAGCCGCGAGTTGACGTAGTGGAACCCGGCCGGGTTCAGCTTCAGCACTAGGCTGCCGTCGATCAACGAACCGGCCTGCTGCTCCACGAAGTGGACCAGCTTCTCCAGGTAGCGATCTCCGGTGACAACCGCCATCAGAATCGGCGATTTCTCCAGGTCAATCTCGGAATTTCACAACGCGGAATCGCATGTTTGTGATACCGCTGGTTAATTTTTAATCAGCACGAATCTAGACAAAGAAAGAGGGAGTTTTTACAGAGAGAAGCGGAGGAGCCACGGCGGTAGCCGGAAGACGATAGAGAGAGAGAGAGGTGGTTTTAGTATTGGAGAGAAGAACACGTAGTCATCAAGCCATAACGAAATGGGCGACGCCGTGACGCTACACGCCATCCAATCATATTTTGTACGTAATGTCAGTTTATTTTTAAAAAGCCATAATATCTACGCTAAAGTGGTACGGTAGAAAAATGAACTAAGCCTTACACGGCTTGTTATAATAATGTACTTTAAATACGGTTTTTAAGAGAATTGAATCTAAGATCTCTTACTTATAAAGGAAGAAAAATATCACTGAATTGTAGTACTAAATGACACGTGCCAACTAACACTTTGATTTTTTTTTTAATTGTTAAATAATTTATTACCATCAACCGTCACCGTATGTAATTTATTAAGCATAGTGGATAAATGTTAAGGAGACTCACAAAATTGAGATTCAAACTCTCAGACACCTCACAATTTAACGTCAATTCTCGTGCTAACTTTATTAAATATTGTGTCAAAAATACTATGGAGACTTGGAAAGTCCATTTTTAGAGAACCTTTTTACCATTTTTTCTCTAAAAAATAGACTCTTTATAGACCATTTGTCACCTCACAGTTTAAAGTTAATCCACATGACATCATTATGAAATATTGTGTAAACATAAGTTATCAGAGAGTCGTCACTTAGTACTATGATATAGTGGTATTCTTTTTCACTTGTAAGTGAGAAGTCTTAACTTCGATTCGAATTTGAACCACATTATTATTAGTTCATTGTGAGTAACGGCTAGTTACCGTTGGATTCATTTTTTTTTTGGGCCAAATTTTTTTAAAAAATTCTTAAAAATTCTCATTTTTTTCCTATAAATACCTAAACCATTCATTCACCATTCCGCACAAAATTTTCATCATTTCAATTCTCATATTTTCTTACCTCTTTCAAAAATATTTCCTTCAATTCTTTCAATAATTTTCAAATGGCCTCGTCTGCAATAAAAGGTAGGGTTTGGACCCGAAAAGAAGATGAAGCTCTTTGCAGGGCTTATAGATGGGTGTCGGAAGACAGTGTGAGGGGGAATTCTCAAACAAGTGAAGGTGTTTGGACTCGTGTGTCCAAAAAATACTTAGAGTTCTACGAATGCACCACTCCACTGAATATCCAAAACCACGAGAGTTGTTCTTCAAGATGGAAGAAACATCTTCATCCAAGTTTGAACAAATGGCATCAAGCATTGTTAGTAGCCGCAAGTAGACATGAAAGCGGCGCTAACTAGTACGACGAAATAAGTGTTTTCACAATTTATTTTAAATATTTAATTATATTACATTTAATTTCATGAATTACTTTCCTTTAATTTTTGTAACTATATTTAATTATATTACATTTAATTTCATAAATTAATTTCCTTTAATTTTTGTAATTATATTTTCTAGGTACGCCAAGTGATAGGAGCATATTTATGCGACTGAGTTAGCTTGTTCTCATGCATTTATGTTGTTATTTCTTAGTTAATTATGTTTTTTAAGCTATTTTCGTGTGTTTGTAGGTCCATAGGCCTTATAAAGCAATAAGATGCATTTTGGTGTATTTTGGAGCAGTTTTGGGCTTGGAATGGATAGCACATGCATGGAGCAAGGTGGATGGACGAAATTGAAGATTAAAGAGGCTAGGAATGTGTTAAAGAGAAAGAATAATTAATGTAAAAAGGAGAAAGAGCTCAGCCACAAAGGGGTGTCACTCTACCATTCACCTTTCCATCATTGCCGTGCACCACCATTGCACTCCCTTTGGATTCCTATGCCGTGCATCATCATCCATGTTCCCTCCATTGACTCATTTGTTGCATCATTGCACTTCCTTTCCTTTGTCTACCATGTGCACAATATCCTTTCATCTCCTTGCACTCATTAATTCACCACTTACTCACATTTCCACCCATGCCATGCATAATCACCCTTGTCCCCTTCATGCACCAGATTTCTTGAACTCATTTCATGCACCATTACACTCATTACACTTCATTGCCATGCATCACCCTTGTCTCCTTCATATTTCTGATTTCATGCATCAATAGATTGAATCATTACACTTAATTGCTGCACACTCCTTGTTCCCTTCACCCATCAGATTTCATACAACTTTTACCTCCACTACATGCACTCATTGATGCACCATCCACCACCTTTGGAATCTCATGCTTTGCATCATCACATCACTTTCACCTTTGAATCATTGCAACACCACTCCTTGCACTCATTGCTGCAACACCACTCCATTTTACCCCTCATGCTTTGCATCATTACTTCATTTTCACCATTGAATCATTGCACATACCACCAATTCACCTTCCTTGTCGTGCACTTCCTCTATAAAAGGACGTGTGTGTGGTAGCCATAGAGCTTAGTTTTTGGCTTGATAATTCATCCCCATTTCAATACAATCTTCATCCAAACACATCCATTCATCTTCACATCCATTCCTCCATACAACTAAACCTTCAAACACTCACCAACACCTTGTGCCGTAGCAAAGGAAGGGAAGGAAAGTGCTTGGACGTGCTTACCGTCCAACTTGGATCGTTGGAGCGTTTTAAGTGTTTTCTTTCTTTTGTTTTCAATGTCTAAATTTGTTTATCTTTGCTTTGTAAGTATGAGGAACTAAACCCCCCTTAGCTATGAGGGAATTCAAAGCCATGAACATACTTGCAATATGAATTGATTACCTTCAGTTGTGATTTCATAAGTTGTGAATTCCATTTGTTTAACTGCTTGATTGATAACTTATTCGTGTATGTTTATTAAGAGTGCACACTTAGTTTGCATGCATAAATATGATGCTAGAGTATAAGGGAGTTTTACCTAATAGTTACAAACTTATATTCACAAGTAGTGGAGATCGCTTATAAACGATCGTGTTAAATGAATTCTTGGCAGAAGTTTCATGCTCATCATAGTAACGAATGCCTCGTCAATACATATGGTTTTCATAATGCTTAATGATCTTTGATTGTATCTTTATTGTGCTGTTCACGTAAAGGACTTTTGAAGAATGCTTGAATTGTTGTATGCGTTTTCCCATCCAATTCAATAACTTAAGGAGAACTTGAAGATTAATTTAAGTAGACTTAATTAACCTGGGGTGTTGAATTTCATGATTGATCGAAAGAACAACTGAAAATTGGTTTATGTGCAAGTATGTCATGTGTGGAGAAGAACCCTCTAGCTAGCCCATCATCCATAGTTTACCCAAATTCGTCCAAAAATATGTTTTAGTTTACAATCTGTTTGTTTTGTTTTCAAATTTTCAAAATCAAATCCCCCTTTACTTTAAAGTGTTTGTATTAGTCAAAATATGTTTTGATTTGTGTTTTTAAGTGTCTTGAGTCAAGTTAGAACCTAATTTCGTCCAAAACCATCCCTAGAGTCAGTTTAGAGTCTAATTCATTGTTTTAAGCTGTTTTGAGTCTTTTAAACTAGTTTTGAGTCTTTTTAGTTTGTATTGCATCTTTTGAGTCTAGTTTGATGGTTTAAACTTAATTTTACGTTTTTAAGTCAATTTCAAGTGTTTTAGCAATCCCTCCTAATCCCCGGCCTAGAACGATCCCTACTTACATTCTTTACTACAATTGACAACAAGAAGGTTTAATTTGTGTGTTAAGATAATTTTCGCATCACCAAGCGGAGGAATTGTATATGTATGGCAGCTCGAAACCCTTTCAGTTTCACGGTTGTTGAGAAATTTGTAAAGGGTGAGTGTTATTTGAAGATCCACCTCAACATAGAGTAGGTCTTATGCCGGTGTTCAAAACTGCATCCTCAACTGCAAATATGGATGAAGATGGATCTCCTACCATTCAACAAATAAGGGTAGAAAATCCATCTTCGGGTGAAGGTTTCATACCTAGGGCTACAGGATGAAACAAGGCCCGAAGGTTGAAGAAAAAGGGCAAGGAAAATAATGATTACACCACTCAACATGAAGTGGCAGCCTCATTGTGATTAATGGTGGAGCAAAATGCCATTGTCGTGGAAGAAAGGAACCGTAGGCAAGAAGAATGGGCCAAACAAATACAAGAAAAGATGAATGATAAGAATATGGAAATGAACACTTCAAATTACACTCCATTGAGTAAGACCTATTTTGATAGGAAAAAAATATATATTATGACCCGGCAGGAGTTGTTTATCTCTGACTACACTCCTACAATGGCAGATGATGAAGATGATGTCGATTATGGATATTAAATTTAAGTTGTTGTAGTTTTTAAATTTAAGTTAATGTTGTTTTTAAATTTAATTTTTAGTTTTAAATATAAGTTGTTGTTTTTAAATTTAAGTTGTTGTAGTTTTTAAATTTAAATAATAAATTATGTTTGGCCCTCGGTTGGAGATGTTTTTTTGTGACAGGGCTAAAACGAGCCCTATGACCCTTTAGGCCTCGGTTGGAGATGGAGGCAAATATAGCCCTGTATTGTTCATTAAAATATTAATATCTTGAATGGATGGGGGGCTAAAACGAGCCATCTGGCAGCATCAATACTCGTTGTTAACAGGAAACTCATTACCTTCCGAAAGTAATATGGAATGCCGTTGTATCAGAATGACAGAAGAAAAATATTTAAATAGTGTTCCAAACACATTTCTGTTTATAAAACAGATTTGTCCAGTTCAGACCCCCTTACATAAGTTTTTCTGTTTATGACCCCTTTACTACGGCCTGATTTGGTACTAAGGTGATTCTAAAAAAAAAGCTGGTATCAAAAAAACATTGAGAGCTGTTTTTGTGTTTGGTAAACATTCAGCTTCAGTTTTTTTTCACAGTTTTGGGTGAAAAAAAGCCAAAAACAAGAAGTTGCAAAACCCAACTTTGAAAAACCGGCTTTTTTTCACATCTGTTTTACATAAAATTTTACCAAATACTATAATACTACTTTTTTTTTCAAAAGCACTTTTACAAAAAGTTTACCAAACACTCTACTATTTTATTTCACAGCTGCTTATTCTCACAGCACAGCAGAAACAGTTTTTTTTCAAAGCACAGCAATACCAAACCAGCCCTACGTTTCCTTTTCGTTTATTTGTCAAATTTCGACAAATATCTAAATCCAACACTCATAACGTATTTGAGAGAGTTATGATGGACATACGAGAAATTAGAAGAAAAGATACCTCCATGACTTTGCTTTCATAGTCGCGTATTTGCTGTGCGTATGTCATTTCTTTATTGGAAACTCGAAAAATATACGTGGAAATCCATCCAATTGTCAGGCCCAACACCAGCACCAGCTGAACGACGTTCCCTGCTTGTAAAGGATCAACTCCAGCAAACTGCATAAAACATCACCGCAAGAAGAATTACACAACTAGAGTAGGAGTTGGCTTGAAAGGAAAGAGAGCTATTAAGAACAGAAAATTTTACATCTAATCCACTTTTCAAGCCGATCCCTATGGCAGTTACTCCAAGTCCAATCAATAAAACATCCTTCCTTGAGTATCCGAACGGTTTTTTCTGTTAAAAATTAATGGAAAAAAGGAGATATAATAAGAAAATCTTTCCTTCCCGGTCAGATATGACTGAGTGTTAGAACAAGACATGGTACATCTCTATCCCAGGAACCCTCTTCCCACTGATCCAAAGGACCAGCTATACTAAATAACTCGTATTCGCGTTACAGAACAAATCATTCATTAGCAGTTGCTCATACATGCCTTGGCCTGATCAGAGGAGTCATCCTCACCGCCATTAGAGTCCGACGAACTGCTATTCCTGGGGATGGTCAAGAGCACCCTTTTTCGCATAATGCGGTTGATGCTATTGGATCCTTCACGGCTAAAAAGGGATGTCTCCTTTCTATATAAGCTGTGAATCATAACTCCACCTAACGAATTTAGTATAAAAGTAGCAATATCAGCTAAATGGCCGGTTTGTATAAGCAAAAGATATCATTTGTATGCAACCCCTTTCAATCAATCAAGTAAGTAGAACACTCCTACATATCACAGTATATGAAAACATACGGTCAGAGATAGAACAATCAAACAATATCAAGTCTGAAGGTAACGTGGGAATTTCCAAAATGGATAAATCGGTCAATCATACACATTAAATGTTGCACGCGTGAAGAGAGGAACCGTAAACACAAAGAAATTGTCGAGCCTTTCACATCTCTAGACGGTAAATGTGCACATCATTCTCTCTAAAAATCTAAAACAATTCTTTCTGTTTTGCAATGTGCAAACCTTACACAGTTAGTTTCAGCTTAAATTCTCTGATGCTGTCTCCAAACACTTGATAGCATTTTAATCAAATGAAAAGCGAAAACCCCCCACATTCTATTAGAGCTAACCAATACAATGCCTGTCGATTTCTGCGTAACCAATGGAAGTTTTGCACAAATACAATCAGAAAGGTCTATAAACACATCAAATGCAACAGCCATATCCTCTACACTAGTTCGAATTAGACCCGAAAATTGAACGGGAAGTCTTTCGGAGCAAACCCAAGTAACTGAAGCTGAAAAAAATAGTCAAGAACGGCAAGAAACAACTGACCTCTCACCAAACCATGAAAAGCTCTGGCCTTTAAGCGCATCAATGGCAGAGCCGAAATACCCAGAAGGGAAATTGGTCTTCTTTCACATGCTAAACTACAACTTGGAGAATTTCCAAGTGGGAGAGATGCCATTACTACAAAAAACAAACCCAACAAAAAAAAAAAGGAAATTATAATTAATCTGAGCATAAAAGGTATGAGCTAAATCAAATTCGATTGTTTTTGTAGTATTAGAGGCACACCTCTATGTAATCATATGAATCATGAACTTTCATGTTCCGGAGTGTATAAGACAGCGGATGTGTATACGTTCTTTCTCTTTATGTTTATGCTCAAGTGGTTGGACACAAATTAGATGAATGAGAATTATTTATGCAATTTCTTTTTCATCTTCGGTCAAAAAAGAATAAAAAGAGTGCGAAAACTACTTTGAATGGAATGGGAACTTTCATGTTAACTTTTTTTTTTTAATAGACTACCTGGTGGCTTCGCCACAACAATTCACTCTTTCGGGGGTCGGGAACACTTACAGAGGCGTTTGAGCTCCCCCCTAAGCACCATCATGCGATTCACCAATGTTTGGAATCAAACCCAAGAAATGTCGTAGGAAATACGAGCTTGAAATTCGTCCCCAACTACTGAGCCACCCGAAACTTCCATGTTATAGGGTGTATAAGGTTTGTCACAATGGTACTATATTAGACATACTCTCCTTGATTCAATAAACAATCAAGATTTGCTTCATAATCATTTGGTTATAAAGTAAGCATACTCAACCTAATTACCAATCTAATTAAACATACAACAAAAAGCCTGTCTGAATTCCTAATAATGCCACCAACAGATTTAGTACAATTAATTTGTTTTTGGACTTACTTGAAACTTTATTAAGCTAATATCTACCAAGATCAAGGATGTTATTAGTTTGACCAATTTAGGAAACTAATTAAGCTTTAGGTTTCCCAACTTACTAATCATACAGTTGAGATTAGATAATAGCTCCAAATTGGTAGCCTCTAGTTTATCAGTCTTAAGCTAGCATTGGATAGTGATTGCATAACAAGCAAAATATTTGACCTTGTGACCATTTCTGTGCCTAGATACTCCTCGCTGATGTCAAATCTAAGAAAGTATGTCCATGCATTTCTTAGTATCCTATAATTGAACATTTTAATGTATTTCAACGATCTAGATAGTCTATCTTTTAAGTTTTTCCTCAAATATTATGTCTACTAAAAATCACTCAAATCTGAAAACCATATGCCCGTTGGATTAAGGGTTTACACTTTTATGTTAAATCATATTCGTCGATTTTCTTCATTATGGATGTCTTAATAGTTTTGAATTTGGCTAATTTTTTGCAAGAATAATCTATGAATGATATTCTAAAAGATAGATAATTTGGATCGTTAAAATACATTACGTAGTACGCCTCACAAAAACGTGTATAAAAAAATAGTGTCACAGATTCGCCCCATATATATACATATATTTGTAGGTATTTGTATAGATATACTTATACAGTAGGTGAGCCTGTAGCAGGAATAATATCAAAGAAATGGTAGGTAAGCCTGTAGCAGGAACCATGTCCAATCATTCGTTTGGTGGTGTCCTTAAGTGAGCCGTTTGTAGTACGTTGCCCAACAAATTGCTCCATGCTTCACCATGTGCCCTCCTTACACTGACAAATTCATCAAAATCCCATTGAAATCCTATACATTTAAAATACACTATTGTAATTATCAACACATTATTTGTGATATATAAACAGTTCGTTCTATAATAACAGACCTCTATAAAAGGGCAACATCAAGTCAACAATATGTTTGCTGTTGTGCGAGGATAAGGAGAAACGTCTATCGTACATAGCCGTACCATTACTTTGCAAATAGGTTGTTTCAACGATTCAAACTCTTGAACTTTTGGTCACAAAGAAGCAACATTTTCGTTACGCCAAAACTCGCACTCAAAGTCTACATAGGGGGTATGATACTTGTATGCTTTAGGTGTAACCAAGTGACAGGTATCTAGGTAGACGACAAATCCATCTCATATCTCTCCCCCACTGTCAATCAATAACCTTCATATTCATGCATGCATAAATTTCATTTATATATACTCAAACGGACTCTTCCAAACCCCCATCCACCATACATCTCTCTCTCTCTCCTCCTCCTCCTCTCCTCCAAAGAGAAAACCTACCGTTTGCCTCTCTGATGGGGAATGCAGCAGTTTCTTGTGCTCCATTAATCATATTCCCAAGCAGTCCAGGAGGAGCAGCAAAAGTTTTAACTTTGGATGGAAGAATGGAAGTTTTCACAAGGCAAGTAAAAGCAGCAGAGCTAATGGTAGAGAATCCAGGCCAGTTTTTGTGCGAGTCTACCACCCTCAAAGTAGGCAACAGAATCCACGGCCTCACCGCCGACAAACCGCTGGAAAGACGGCGGCTTTACTTCCTCCTCCCCATGGACCTCCTCTACTCAGTGCTAACACATGAGGAACTCAGCTCCCTAGCTTACAAGGCTTCAAAGGCACTCAAGAACAGTAGAGGCTTCAAGAATTTCAGCAGGATTTTTCCGGTTTTCGGAGATTTTCGCTTGTTTAATGTTTCGGAATCCAAGAGACTGGATTGTGATGATTATGTAATAATTAGTGTTACTTCAAACAATAATCCAGAGCCAGTAATATTATTGGAGAGGTACTCAAAGCAAAGATCATGGAAGCCTGCCTTGGAGACCATTGATGAGACTCCTTGCACACATTGATATCCTCTTCAGTGTAATTAATTTTGATTTATTTATTCTTGGATTAATTTTAAAAGTAGTTAAATATCTAGTTAACTTCATGACGAGAAAGTTTCGTTTGTGTATTTAGAGAAGCCAATTTTGTTGCTGATGCGTTTGTTAATTTAAGTCGTTCTCAGACATGCAAGAAAGTCTGAATCCTCCATTCGACATTATTTTAGCTTTCCCCTTCTAATTCACATTGTTTTCCAATATGGATGTTACAGCATTAATTAGCTGTTTATTGTGAATAAAATATGTTAATATATTTCTAATTTAAAAATGGTTGGGATTAGATTAGTCGTCTTCCTTTTGTCTTCCACCTGTTCTAAAGCTGGAAAGTGATGAAGCCAAATCAAGAAAACCAACCACCAACAAAAAAGGCTTTTCGTTTTAGATCCCATGATGGTGACATTGATTAATAATAAGGAACTTTAACGAAAAACTCATGGTACTGTTCATTTTAATGAAAAATCATATTTTTACATTAAAAAATCAATCCTAATACTATTCATTTTACCATTTATTTTGTCATTTTCGTTAATCAAAGTTTTCAAATCATTTTCATTAGTTTTTTTTCTAATAATATTGTTTACTTATTTGCTAAAGCGATATTCTCTCAAAATTGAATTCAACTCTTTGCTACGTAATGTTTTTTGGACAATATATATTTTATATGCATATTTGTCGATTTACCCCTGAACTTATATAGAGCTACTAATTTATGTTCTGAACTTTAATTTTAGCCGATTACCCCCTTAAACTTTTATAATTAGCCAATTTCTCCCTTGAACTTTAATTTTAGCCGATTACCCCCTGAACTTTTAGAAATAGTCAATTTCCCTCATGCATTAGATTTTAAAAGTTTACATCCAATTTTTCATCAATCTTCATCACGGAAACAACACATGGCAACTATATGAGAACAAAAAGGATGAAAAATTGGATGGATGAAAAATTGAATGAAAGTTTTTGAAATCTAATGCCAAGAGGGGAGTTGTCTATTTATAAAAGTGACTCCTCCCACATTCTCTCTCTCCCCCCCTCTCCCTCTCTCCCTTTCTCCTTCTCATTTTCTAAAAAAATGTGTTCATACATATAGACAAATGCTAGTATTTTATAAGAGAGTAATGCTAAATAAACTAAAATTTCACTTAGATCAACATATATATATATATATATTTTTTTTTTCCTAACATTTCTTATTAAATGCATTTGAAAACTGACTATAGAAAGTATCCAACTTTTATAGCAATTAAAAAAAATCTCCTCAATAAGTACAGTTTCGTTTCAATTTGTAACATAGAAACATATGCATATGAGGGAAAACAAACTTTGAAGTTTCGATCAACAAAGTTCGAAAGTGCTGAATAGTATATTTGTGAAAATATAATTGTAAATATGGATGTACATATATATGTAAATAGAGTTGTAAACATCGTTGTTAATATGTGTACGTAGAATTGTAAACCCGCAACAATAGGTGCCTTGGCTAGTTAGTACCTAAACTGAAATTATTAGCATAAGTGTGATTGATAATGTTGCTTTGTCCAAAGTTAACCACAACTTTTTCTTGCAAGATTTATCATAAAATACGTACTATTTTCACAGAGCCATTTAGCTTCCAAATCGTGACGTGGATGGATAACATATGATAAGAAAACGCAATAACAGGAGGGGAGAAAAAAGGAAGAAAGCAAAATCCAATAGCCAAACCCTTTTTGTCGCGTTAAATACTTTTTTGGTCAATGTGTTTATGATTAAAATATATTTTGATCGCTGTATTTTTAATTTAGCTAATTTAAGCTTTGTGTTTTACAAAGTTGCAATCTTGATCACTCCAATTAACTTTTTATAAAAAAACATAAAAATATTAATTTAATAATTAAAATATATAAAAACATATATAATTAATTGGTAAACTATTATTTTAATATATTTTAACAGATAGTTAAAGGAAGTGACAAAAAAAGAAGCTAAATGATGATGTCATTAAACAAATAAATTTAAATGATGATGTCATTAAACATTTAAAAAGTAAAAAAAGACATAGAGTGAAAAAAAAAGAAGCGGGACGGGGGCTTATGCTACACCGCCACCACAGATGGCAGTGAGTGAAACCGGCAATCTAGAGAGAACCCCAGCAGCCGTCGATGAAGTCCCAATCCCATCATCAACATTCGACGGCGGAAGAACCCTCCCGTCGGCGAACAACAGCCGTCCATTTCTGGGCTGGCCCACCATGACGCCTTCCAGCTCCGCGGCCGTATCGTAAAACGCAGCGTCTCCGAACCTCCTCTCCACCTCAAGAAACTCCCCGAGCGAAGCCGGCTTGGTGCCGTCGTCTTGGCAGAGGCGCCACCACCTCCTCCGCCGCCCCGCCAGCGCACCCACCGCCGACGAAGCGGCGGCGCTCTTCTTTTTCGGCTTCTTCGTCTTCCCGGAGCTGCTTGCGCTAGTACTACCGATGTTGTTGATGTTTCCGGGTTGGGGGTCGCGGTGGTGCTGGCTCGGAGCTCTGAAGGTGATGGCGGGGAAGCTCACTCCCATTAGTGTTCCTAACGTCGTGCTCCGATCGTGAAAGAAGGAGCCTGTAGACTGCGATTGAAAATTTCCCAACTTTTCACAGATTTTGTAAATCAAAATTAAGAAATTGATGAAATTGGAAGAAATGGGGGAAATGAGTTACCTCGGTGTCGAGATCGGAGGAGGAGACGGAGGAGTTGGTGGGGGAGGAGGGCGGCGGAAGCATATCATTTCTCGGATCTAGCATTTTCCCCGCTTTCTGTTGTTTCTGCGTGTTGGTTTTGGGGAGAGGATTTTCTGTTTGTTTCTCGGGAAAATTGAGATGGGAATTTGGATTTTGATCTTGTTCTTGTTTGAAATTTGAAGGTTTATTTAAAGTGTGGTGGGGTGGGGGTGACGGTGATGAATGAGATTTTTTAACGTGATTGACATACGAAGTAATACATCACGTTTGATGTTATTATACAAATTGTGAGATATATGTATTAAAAAATTAATAACTTTAAAAATAAAATTTTTTACTGCTTACATAAAAATACATGATATATCATTCGTGTTCTCATCATATTGAAAATTTTCTCCTTACCGGAAGTTGGATTGTGTTTCAAATCATTAATGTTTGGGGGTTTGGAGGTGCTTTGTCCTTTTCCATAATTTGTTGAAGAAATGGTTAATATCAAATGAGTCCCTTTAGGTTTCTATATTATCACTAGTGGCCCTATATGTCCTTTACATATTCTAAGTTGCTCTTGCTCTTTACATTTTCCCCATTTGAAGGTAATTCGTTTTTAATATAAAATAATAAAAAAGGGGTTGGGGGTGGGGGAGGGGTTGTCCCAACACATTGAAATTAAGTACGTCTTGAATAATTAAGGAATCACCGTGATGATTACTTATTTCATATTTGAACAATCAAGTATCGTTCTCATTTATAACGTCTCTAATACATATAAAAGACCTCTTAGGAGTGGGGGTTATACCGTACTGTATTGAGTCAAATAAGTCATTCAATACACTATGGTAATGAAAGTTTCAAGTGCTCGTATTTAATACGTGTTGTTCGTGTAGATTTGTTTGGTATAATTAAGATTTTGGATTTGATCTTTCGGCATTTATTAGTCTCACAGTTTAACTTGCCAAACAAACGACTTTGGAAGCACATTTGCAGGCTTTGTCCCCAAAAGAGGAAAAGCTGCCGACACGACACCGGTGACCACTAGACTCATGGTCCTCACTCCTCTCATGGGGACGTATGGATAATATGGTCAAAGTAAACATTAAGTTTTAGGACCTGAATTGTCTGCCTCCCCCTCCCCATCTCCTTCCCCTCCCCCTCCCCCTCCCCATCTCATTCTATTTGAATGGTTACGATTAAGTAACGTTAATATTTTATATTGATTTTTATAGAGATAATAGGACAAAAAACATTAGAAATATAAAATGTTGACGTTACTTAACCGTGATCGTTCAAATAAGAGGAGAGGGGATGGAATGGGGAAGGACAAACAATCCAGGTCACAGATTTTAAAGTTCATGCAAATTCTAGGATTGGCACTCGAATTTTGTTTGTGCTTATAAGTAATTTTATTATTTTTTATATTACTAATTAATTTTATCGTGAAATCCCAATTTTCTTTGATCAGCCGGACCAAAATACAAGTGAATCTATGAGATATAAGACGTTCCATATAAATGACGTGGTTGTGTATCTCTCCCCGAGTTTTTTCTCAATGTGAAATATTCCAGGCAGAAGAAGCATTCATTGCCCCCAGACGAGTCGCATAGATTATCATGCTCCGACGTTGCTTTGCTACAAAAACTACGTAACACCTCGTGTTGGCGTGCATCGAGTCCCACATCGGTTTGAGTCTCATTGATAACTAATTCTTTCGAACTATAACGCAGAGGTGGTGTAGGCTCCCCTGACTGTGACTAATCCTATCTTTCCCATGTGCTACTATCAGAACTGTCAGATGCCCTTATCTCCAAAGACATGGGACATCACAGAGGAGCAGAATTTTACTTTAATGGTCCAGAGCTGTGGATTTGTTTATATCAAACAGAGGTAGATTGTCTGCTCTCCTGTTATGGTGCCCTTCCCATCCATTTTTATTTGTGCGGTCACGATTAAGCCACGTCAACATTTTATATTCCTATTGCTTTTTGTCTTATTATTTCTATAAAAGAATCAATATAAAATGTTAACGCATCTTAACCGTGACCGCACAAATAGGAATGGATGGAAAATGCACCATAACAGGAAGGCAGACAATCTGCCTCCATATCAAACTCCATATGGCTGGTAGGACGTCCTATCTTACGAGAAAAACTTGGGTGCAAGAGGTAGATACATCTCCCACTCATTTGAGCGAGACATATAAAGGGGTTAATATCTCCGATTACTCAGTAGAATCTCTTATCTATCACGAAACGTAAAATGCATACAAGAGAGAAATCTTGGGTGCCAGGAATGTACCCGGAATACACAGTAGGATCTCTCCGCGACCACTGGTGAAGTCGCCTGGCCTTGGCCACTCACCGGCGTGCACGATCTGATGGTCGTTATAATTTGGTCCCTGAGTCTGACAAATAGTCACCTGCACTGCAGTATTCAGTTATGCTTTCCCCAGGTACAATTTTAGAAACCTGGAAATACCACATTAAACACTGAACACTTGTGTTTATCTAAGCAAATAATAAGAAAACAAGCGGAAAATCTACAAGATCATATTGCTTGAAATGAACGGATGAGATTGAAAACAAAGATCCTATAGCTTCATCATACCCCATTAATATCCCGGTGCACCAAAAGGCAATAAAATAGATAATAATACGAAAAAAAGTCACCCGGAAATAGATAATAATATCAAAAAAGTCAATAAAATAAAATAATGGAGGACCAGACAAAAAAGTGAAGATAATAGTACCAAAAAGTGATCAAATCCACTGCTAAACCAGCCAGTTTTACATGGAAATGTAGATCCACCACTTTAACACTTGCTTTTTCTGTCACAGATTGTATTCCCTACCACACATGCACTCCCAATCTTCAAAGTTTCCTGCTTCATGCTTTTGGAGTTCAGCTGTAAGGTGGTGGAAAAGCCAGCAACATCAACCCCCTCCAAATGATTGCTTTTTCTAAACCCTACCAATATATTCCTTTTCTATAAACAGAAGTAGAAATGTACATTAACGAAACCTTCGTCTGGTTGTCGTGGACTCAAACCCAGAAAAAATGTCAATCTGGCTTGAATCTGTGACCATAATCAATTTGATCTACATGGGAGATAAATCATGGATATAGTCATCCCACATTTCACTTGCAATCGAATCCCGCGTCTGCGAAGTGAATTCCAGTTCTTCGGTTTCAAAAGCAATGTCCAAAGCAGAGGCTTCAAAATGCATGATTGGTTGCTCCACCTCCCCTAACGGGGGAATTGATTCCTCCATTTGCAGTATGGTGTCCTTTTCGTACATTTTAAAGATCCAGTCATCTGGTTTCTCCTCACGGATGAAGTTGTGTAGGGCACAAGCTGCCACAACCAATTTGACTTGTGTTTGTAATGGGTACGGAGGGGCTGACATCAATATAGGGAAGCGTTCTTTTAAAGCCCCAAAAGTGCGATCAGATGCATTTCGTAATACTGAGTGTCGCTGATTAAATAGCTCTTTTGCATCTTGAGGGTGATAACCACTAGGAAACTCCGTTGAGTGATAAGGTATACCAGGATACGGAGCAATGAAGCCAGGCATGTTTGGATACTTGGTGTCCACGAGGTAGTATTTGCCTGTTACAAATTTTGATCCCAACAGTGGTAGTAAGATCCCACAGTAATTGTAGTATTGACAGAATAAGATCGTTACTATATATTTTCCAAACAAGTAAACCACCATGTGTTGCATACATGGGATCCCGCAGTTTCCAGTTCATATCTAATTTTGACAGTACATTTACTTCTAGAAATTATTGTCTAATAAGTAAATTATAATCTATTTAATCTGCATTGTATTTTGACAGTTGAAAATGCAAATCCACTACATCCTCCCCCATTATGATGCGAGCTAGCCAAGATAGAGCTGCTCTTTGGAAGGAAGATGGGACAAATATGTCCACCAAAATGTAACAGATGTGTAAGAGAGTTCACACTTCATATGGTGGCTTCAGTGTAATTTCACAGAATAGGAAAGGACAACTTTGTCCAACAGAAAATCTCACATTCAAGGATGTTTAGTGATTGACATGAATTATGATCCATAATCAGGCAATCAAACTTGTGTCCATATTGGCATCACACTAGCGCTATCATGCTGATTTTTATATATGATAACAATATGAAATCAACTAAACAGAAGAATACTTTTTTAATGACTATCAATTTAAGGAGGAAACGCAGTTTTCTACATTAACTGAGCATTTAATAGTCCAATTCGGGTTGGCAATACCTTCTGGCATCTGCAATTTGTTTCGTCTGGTGAGAGCAGAATTCAAAACTTGCAAATCTGAAGCAGAGCCTTCCCAACCAGCCAAGACATAAAGGAACTTGAGATCAAATGAGCAAGCAGCCAGAACATTTTGTGAAAGTAAGCCATTCTTGTCGCGGAAAGGTCCTTGCTCATCTACCCCCACCATCACCGGGAAGTGTATGCCATCAACTGCTCCCACACAATCCTATAGGATAGAACTTTTGAATTGTAAATCACATAGAAACGAGATACATATCATACTTGGTTACTGTGGGATTACCTTAAAATATGGATAGAATCTAGGATTTTCTGAAATTTCGGGAGGAACATCAGATCCTGGAGGCTGAAAGAAACCTAACGAAATTGCCATTACTGCGTTTAAGACATTGTTGAAATGACGACTGATGGTTTCTCCGGAATAACGGAATAACTCTTGAACAGCTCGAGTCCGTAGATTATGACCAATTATGAACAAGAACATGGCCAATTGCTCTTCAATCTTGATTCGATTTGTGTGGCGCAGTAGGCCTTTTCCTTGCAAAATATCACACAACTTGTAGAAGACATGCTTATCCATGCGAAAGTTCTCTAAACAGCGTTCATTTTGACCATTAAGGACTTCATCTATAAACTTTGCACCAGTAGATGATAAAGCATGACTGAGTTCTTTCGGTATATAATTCTCATAGACTGTATCCTTTTCATCATCAGAGATCTCCATTACCAACGACCTTTGCACAGCGATGTATGCATTGAATATCAGAAATTATATGGATGGAGGTCAAACATAAAGAAATGACAAAACAAAAGGAATAGATTCTATACTGGAATAGAATACATCAATAAGAGAGTACAGCTTAACAACTCTTGCCAGCTAAATGATATCGAAATTACATGATTTCTAAATGAAAAGGTCATATATGAACAAGAAAGAATGTCAACTGTTAAACCCCATAATTCAAAGAGGCGTTGCTTCCTCATAAGCATTCTACAACATTGATACTTTTGTAAATCGCCTTAAAAGTGAAAATCTATGAATCCACCAGGATAACTGAGTACATTAATTTAGACACGAAGAGCGACCATCTTTAAATGATGATGAGACCATAATATGAACCATTCAATACACATGGAAAGAAAAGATGAAGAGTAAGATAAAAACACTAAAGTCTGGTAGCGAAGAAATGCAGAAAATTACGGATGCTCGCTCCCTCAAATTCAAGTACTTTAGACTCAACTCAAGTTAACCTTCATTTTAGCGAATGAAGGAGTCACCTGCATCAATATTTTCTAAACACTTGGCCCTAATCTATTTTAAGGTCTTTTTCACTGATACACTCGTAATGTTAGTAACAGAAGCACACGCGTGCATCCACACACACAGAATAAGGTTCTAAGATGTGGCAGTGCACTGAAATGTGTACTTCCTTCACATTAGTCGTTGTATAAGCGTCCAAAGCCCGAAAATATCAGCATTCAATAGACAGGGGAGACTAAAGTACTAGCTAATGCTAAACCAAGCTACACCAACTGGATCAAATTTCATAAAAAGGACTACAAACATAAACCAAAACAATGCAATCACAAACAGGGTAACAAATAATCTACGCAGAAAACCGCGAAAGTTGCCTGAAAACTTCATCAAACTCGAAAACTACAGAAACCCAGAATCTAATATGTGCAGACCTAACCACTAAAGCATCACAAACAGAAATTACACATTCAAATGGACATCAACAGAAATTGTACGCAATTCTGCTGAATTCTATAATCTGAAATAAGAAATTGACCGAATGTAAAATCAATTTCTGACGAATTCTACTTGCAATTTGAATGAAATTAACCAAAAGATTAAAATCCAAGTTGAACGAACGAAATTATAATCGCCAATAAACAAAACCCAAGTGAGAATTTATCGAAATCGAACGCCCATACCTGCGGAGAGCTGAGCTTCTGCAACTTCAGGAGGCAAACGACGTCGTCGCCGGCGGCTTGGGGGCGGTACGAGAGAAATGTGTGAGATGAACGGAATCGTTGGGTTTTTGAATTTGAGGGAGTTATGAGTGAGTGAGGTGAGCCACTGAGTGACGTCACATTCTCCGTTGATTCTGTGCGTGTCCGTTTGCACTTCGCCGTCTCTCGCTCTCTCTCCTTTTTCTTTTCTCGATAAATTTGTAATTTGCAGTCTTCTGCAAACTTCAGACTGGGGGAGGAGGGTAGGCTGCCAAATCCTTTTGCTACTGTTACTTTTGACACGACATGATATGAAAATAATAAGTTTTGAGCAACATGTTAATAATTGGGACTGTTATTCAGTCGCATGTTAAGAACTCGTTAAAAAGTCAAGTCACCCCTTAAGAATCTGATAAGATATCGTTTGTCATACATAAACATTAAACATGACAATTTCTTGAGTTACTCGTCACGAAACGACCCATTAACGAATCTGTTCATTATTGAATTAGTTGTTAAGAACATTGTACGACAACAAGTTTGACACGACATGATCCGTTAAAATAACGGATATGATTTGAAAACAACATAAGTAAGACAAACACGGCCCGTTTGTCGGGTGTGAGGGTTTTTTTCTCTCTTTCTCTTTTTGGCTAAAGCTAGATTTCTCAAGAAACCCTATTTTGTAGGAGTGTGTTTTCATAAAGCCCAAGTTAATTCCTCCATTCTAGGCCTAGTGAAGGCCTCAAACTCGATAGTAACTTAGACCATCTCCAACCAACTCGGCCAAGGGGCCATAGGGTTAAAAAAAGCTCGGAATGACACAAAAATCGTCTCCAACCGAGAACTAGGCCAAAGGGCTTGTGAGCCCCACCGGACCTAAACTTCCAAATCAGGCCAGCGAGCTAGCCATTTCCAGCCAGCCATCCATCCATCGCCAGAATGTCAAGCTTGACATTTTGCCAACTCTTCAGCTCCACGGCTGGCCATTTCCAGCCAGCCCTCAAGCGCCAAAATGTCAAGCTTGACATTTTGCCAGCCCTCCAACTCAGGCCATTTAAATGCCAACGGCTACCTAGCGTAAGCATAACACCAGCTAGCTAATGTTATGCTACTGTTATGTTACTATTGGAATTTGAAATTTTTTTTTACGAATTTAAAAAAAAATCTAATTTTTTTTCCTATAAATACTTACAACATTTATACAACATTGAAAGCTGAAGATAAGAAGTGTCACATAAATAAGAATCATATCTAAAATTTGCACAACCAATTACATCTCAACATGTGGCACTTAAAATCCTATCCAAAAAACTGTTAAGATTACATAAAGATAAGAAATCTAGAGAGTTACTCACTTTAGCGACACGTGTCACTCGAAATCTTATCCGAAAAATTATTGAGATTACATAAAGATAAGAAATCTGGAGAGTTACTCACGTTGGCGACATGTGTTGCTCGAAATCATATCCAAAAAATTATTGAGATTATATAAAGATAAGAAATCTGGAGGCTTATTCATTTGGCGACAAGTGGCACTCAAAATATGTCCAAAAACCTTATTTTAATATGATAGTTTAATTTAATTAACCATATTAATTTAATTAAAATAATAAATTATGTTTGGCCTATGATCCTTTGACCTCCTCGGTTGGAGATGGTTTATTGTCAAAGGGCTATGTTTGGCCTATGGCCATTTGGCCCCCTCGGTTGGAGATAATATAAAATATGAACTAGCACTGTTCATTAAAATATAATTTATTGCAAGGCTATAGGGTTAAAGGGAGTCCTTTAGCCCTCATTCGGTTGGAGATGACCTTACGTGCAATGAGGGGACGCCAAAGGGACGTTGTCCCAAACTCATAACGTGATGTCATATAGACAAGCAAATTTGAAACAACGGTATTGGGGTACAAAGATGTACTAAGGGCTGGTTTGGTATTGCTGTGCTTTGAAAAAAGCTGCTGTGAGACTAAGCGGCTGTGTTGTGAGAATAAGCGGCTGTGAAATAAAGCAGCAGAGTGTTTGGTAAACTTTTTTGTAAAAGTGCTTTTGGAAAAAAAAGCAGTCTGATAGTGGGTCTTTTCATTAAAGGAGCACTGTAGCTCCGTGTGCTTTAAAAAAAGCCAGTTTTCCAAAGCTGCAAATAGTAGCTTCAGCTTTTTCCTTTGATTTCAGCTTATTCTCACAGCAGCTTCCAAAATAAGCCCTTTTTTTTTCAGTTTACCAAACACCTAAAACCCTTACAGCTTTTTTTCATGAGTGTTTTTTTTTTAAGCACCTCACTCCCAAACTAGGTCTAAGTCACACAATAAGGTCAATGATAATATAGAATCAAGCTTGCCATCCATGCAAGCCAAATTTAAGATTTGTCACTTATAATTTGAGGAAAATACCCATTAAAATTGTACTAGTGCTTGTAGCATGTCATTTGGCAGACTAAAATACAAGGGTTTTTATTATTCAAATGGGCATCTCGAATGTTGTTGGAGCGAAAGATTGATTTATGTGTTGGAGTGTTCTTGTAGGCAGTAGGTACCTCCTGCTTCCCTCATTAATGGCAAATGAAGAATGAAATCGTGGGCTTCTTAACCTGGTTATAAGATTACTTGTTGAAGGATTGGAGGATCCAAATTTTTTCGTTCCAACAAGTGTCCAGGACAGGTAGGTCACTTCCCCAAATATAAGAGAAATTTCCTAAATTTTGTCTTTGTGCAGAGGGTTTTTCATTTTTGGGACAACATCGACATCGTTGTGCAGAGTTAGACATGAAGCTTTCAGCCAAGCTTTTGTGTTTTTCCTTCATTTGGTTTCTCTCATGTTCCTAACATGCAGTGCACCATGAAGCTTCCTATAATATATATATATATATTTCACACTCATAATTCGGAGCGAAGTTAAAAAGTTAGCTCACAGAGGAAACAACTAGATAGTGCCAGATGCCCCGTTGCATTCCAAAAAGTGTGTGCAACGCCAATTTTTTTATTAATATTTTCGATGAAGTATTTCTTTGAGCATTTGAACGACCCATATCATTGTGTACTTAGTGTAAATTCCTCTTCAGGGATTGGATAGCCTCTCAGTCTAAACTTTTATAATGAAAAAATTGTAGTCATTTACTTTTATTTTTATGTATATTCTTAATTTTACTGTTAAATTGAATAAATCAATAAAGAATTGAGCGATAAAACTAAACAAGTGCAAAAAACATATATTTACCTTTCCTGGTACTATTAACTTACACCTTTATTTGTCATTTTTCATTAAAACTAAAGTTTTTTTTTACTTTTCGTTAGTTTTCCTTAAAATCATTCTTTCAAATTTGGAAAGAAAAAAAATCTTTCAAAGTGGGGTGGAAAAGAGTTGAGCTCTTTCATGACGACGTGAGTTTAAATCCTGTCGGTGATTAATCTAATAAGACCATCTCCAACCCTGGGCTAAAAGCCAAATTACCCCCCCCAAACACTCTCCAACTCATGCTAAAATTTTAGGCTAAATGCCAAATGCTATTTCTGGGCCAAATACCCCCCCCAGCTTTCCCCCCGGGCTAAATGCGAAATGTTTATCGGAATTTAAATTTTTTTAGATTAAAATATTCATAAAATTAATTTACAATAATCTACATATTTATTTATTTTTTTTAAATTGATTTAAGAAAAAAATTTAGGCTAATTTCATTATTTAATAATTCAGGGCTAAAATTTTAGGGTAGAAGAGTTGGAGCAGAAAATATGTTTCTGGGCTAAAAGCTAAATTTTCCGGGCTACAAAATTTGGCTTTTAGCCCAAGGGTTGGAGATGGTCTAAAATTTTTCGTTTGACCCAAAAAAAAAAAAAAAAATCTTTTATAATAAAATAAAATATTCGCAGAAAAGGCCCATATTTATTACCAAAAGAATTTACTTACTATCACGGGGTCACCTCATATGCGGGAAGCGACGTATAATGATTGAACCTGAAACTATTGTTTAATATGGAAAAGTGCATTTCTGAGTCATCGTCTCGTCATCGTCATCATGCTACACATTGGATTAGATTCAATTGCACGTCCAACCATCCAAAAGGATAAAAAAGTAGATGACCACCTCCACACCCATATATAAAACCTAAAAAACTAAGCTAAATCATATTTTACTCTATCAGGCAATGTTTTGAAAAACACTAGTGCTAGTTTGGCATAGAATTGAGACCTAACACATAGGTGGCTAGATGGATCAAGGTGAGAGCGTAGGCAGATTAGACAGATTTAAGTATATATATTGTATAAGTAAGTGCAGACTTATATTTAAAAAATACGCAATTGTATTGTGATACATATATTGCAAAATAAAATATCATATAAAATATAAAATTTTAGAATATAATGAAAACATAGAACAAACATAATATAAGTATTCAACAAGTCTCTTACATTTTATTGAAAATAAAATGTAAAATGAGAGTTGTCTATTTTATGTGTAAGTGAGAGTCGCAACCTAGACGGAGGCTTAGGTGGTCTAGGCGGGCATCTAAGTAGATATAGGTTCATTTTTTTAATTTTTAAACGCTTAGAGAATTAATCGGGGTGGTGACTAGTTGCCTAGGGCCTATGCGGCGTTAGGCTGAGAATAACAATGCTTTTAGGTTTACATTTAATTTTAAATTGACACAATGTCTTTTAATTTTTTCAATTTCATAAAATGGCTTAAGATTTTGTCTAATATCGTACAATCGTTAGAAAATTGATTAAGTTAATAAAATACTGATGTCACAAATTTTAGCATTCTATTTTTGCTGACGTGACAATCAAATTTGTCCACTAATGTCTTCAACTTCTCATGTTCACCGTCTTTTCTTCTCTCTCTTCTCCCACAACACAATCCATTAATAAAAGCTCTAAACCTTATGGCATGTTTGATATTTTATTTGAATCTTGAATCTCTTATGTTTCCTCTCACACCTAATACTTGTTCTTCTAATCTTCTCTCTTCTTATCCTCTTCTATTCTATCTCCTCTTTCTTTCATTTCCTTCTCTCTCCTCTTTCTCTCTATTGAATTTAGAGCAAGTCCACCGGAGTGGACATTGCCCATTACCCTGTCTAAAAACAAGGCCAACACCTTGTCAATTTAGTCCACCCCTTCAACATGACTGGTACCCAGCCCGAGCTGGTCTCTGGGCCAGCCTAAAAGAGACTGACCAAGAAGCTGGGTTATTTGCCTGGCGCGAGTGCCCGACAGCCTTTCAGAGGCGGGACTCGCGTCGTAGGGATGTAGGGTTTATATGGACAAAAAAAGAAAGGATGAGGTTCTGGAC